CTACTTCTTTCAAAAATAAAAACATCTATTTAAAAAAAATAAAATGTGCTGTCGAAGCTGCTAAAAGTAACCATTTAAGTTCGCGTCACATTGAAATCCACCTTCGAAGGATTTGCTCCAAAAATTTTTTCTGCAAACGTTATTTCGTGAAAACGAAGCGCAAATCAACAAAAACATACGGAACGACGCTTTTCATGTCAAAACAAGTCAGTCTGCCAAAAATTAGCTCGATCCTGTAAAAAAATAAAAATCGGCCCTAAAAGCGTTATACGCCCTTTTGGCAGGGAAGGCTTCAATTGATGTCTACTTGTTGGCCATTATCTGTAGGACTCGTTGTGTCAATAATTTCGAAAAATCCACTTTCTCTTACTTAGATTGCTCTTTACCAGGCCACGAAAACTACAAAACGTCCATTGAGCATGATCGCAATGCATGCACGGGAAAACATGGCGGTCAATGCAAGACATATTTTATAAAGGCTGGTTTTCATATGATAGCAGATGATCGCGGAACGTAGATCGCAAAAGTTCTGTGATCGTTTGCGATCATATGGAAACACACTTCTGCGATCGTCTGCGATCAATTTCGATTGTGCGATCATATCATATCTAACTATGATCATATGGAAACCAAAGATCTGCGATCAAAATGTATCCCATAATATTTTGAATTCCGACCCATGATTCAATGCTTCTTAACAACAAAGCAACCGCTTATTTGTTGTAAACATGGCTGGCGTTGAACAAGGTAACGTTAGTAACGAGAAATTTATGGAGGAAGTTGTGCGATGCGTTTACCAACGTAACAGTAAAGATTTCAAAGACAAAAACAAAAAGGCTAACTGCTGGGCAAAAATCGGGGAGAAATTTAATTTATCGGCGGCTGAGGCGGAGGTCAAATTCCGCAACATGAGAACTGCCTATGGTCATTATCTGAAGCAATTGAAAACGCCACCTTCTGGATCGGGGCGAGATGCAGTGGCAAGGGAATTTCAAAATAGGTTGACTAAAAGAAGAAATAAATTTGCTTGCAGCAAAATTTCCTCCTCGACGTCCGCCATATTGTTTGCTGCGATTTTCCCGCCAGCACAACGCGCGTGTAATTTTGACACTTCCGCTGTCCGAAATGTATGCAACAGTCGGTTCTGCAATCGTTTGCAATCGTCTGCGATTTTATGGGAACAACTCTCTTTGTGATCGTCTGTGATCTGTGATTTGCGATCTGCGATCGTCTGCGATCATATGGGAACCAGCCTTAAGTCTAAAGCTCCGGCCAAACGATCGCAAGATGTCAACGCAACATATCGCAAGATTGTTGGCTGCAACATGTTGTGTGCATTTGGCCACCCTGTTGCGACATGTTGGGTGTTTTTGGCTTAGTTTGAAAATGGCTAAATTTGAGCCAACGACAACCAACATGTTGCAACGCGTTGCAACACGTTGCAACAGGGTGGCCAAACGCGCGCAACATGTTGCACCCAACAATGTTGCGATATGTGGCGTTGACATGTAGCGATTGTTTGGCCCGGACTTAGAATCAGTTCTCGCTTTCCAAACTTTGATGCTGGCAATGCTTGACAAATGGGCCACAACTCACGAGAGGATTATTATTGCTCTTGGACTTTGCTGCCTGGATCGATCTGACTTCAAACGCTGGTAACTCAGTTGTATCGGTGTTTTTGAATACCAGAAAGCACATTTTGGTTCTTTAAAACGTGTTGATAACTTGCAGGTTTATTTTTTAAATGGCATTATATATTTCTTAGTGTATTAGTTCTGTAGTAAATGTATGCTAACATAAAGTAACAGGACTCTTAGGAAGACCTTAGTGTAAATATGGTACTATTTGTGTGTAGATAAAGATTAACTTGACTTGATTATGTGACTATGTTCTAGAAAGTGGAGGCCACAACAGTAAAGCAGTTGCAGTTGAAAGGGATAAAAAGGACCAAGAGGAAGAAGAGGAGACACCTCCTCCATTACCACCACGGCAAAGGCCTGAGGTCACTGATGCGCCAGTGACCAAGAAAAGCCGCCCAAATAATGATGGTATGTTGCAAATAAAGCACTTCTCAGAAAAAATGGAGACAAACAAACACAAGTCAAAGATGGGGCGCCTGTACGATTTTATATCAAGAAGAGGAAAGAGGCAGAAAGATGATAATGCAGCTAGAAAGAGCAGTAAAGGCACAGGAAGACTTGGTCTGTTAAGATATTGTTATGTTAGGCTTCTATTATTTTGCTCTAGCAGNGACGTCCGCCATATTGTTTGCTGCGATTTTCCCGCCAGCACAACGCGCGTGTAATTTTGACACTTCCGCTGTCCGAAATGTATGCAACAGTCGGCTTTACGATCGCTTGCGATCGTCTGCGATTATATGGAAACAACTCTCTTTGCGATCGTCTGCGATCTGCGCTTTGCGATCCGCGATCGTCTGCGATCGTCTGCGATCGTCTGGGATCATATGGAAACCAAATGTATAAAACATCAACTTTTCAAATTTGCTTTGACTGTAATTTACCTTTTTCAACTCAAAGTAAGATGTGTTCCCAGAAATTGTTTTCTTGTGGTTGATTCATCGGCAGTTTTATGGATAAATTACTAAATGTATCTACACATCATTTAAACTAAGTTTTAGAACTTGGTTCTATTTAGAACAGCGCAAGTTGATATCTCACCATTTTTGAACTTTAAATTTTGCAGGAACACCTTGCTCATGTTGAAAGCACCCAGAGCAGGTTGACAAGGCGGCTTCAAGCAGTGACGTCTTTCAATAGACCTACCCTCGCACTCCTCCCCACCGTACCTGGGTGGGGGATCTGTACAGGTTCTCTCGCGTTTCCGGTACGAATCAGATCCACACGTCTTGGAGCACTCGGACCAGTCACTCCACGGTGAGAAGTGGCCGTCGACTTGAAGGGAATAAAAATAAAAAAACGGAGCAATTAGCTTAAGGTCTTGCAATACTTAACAAATCTTGCCGTCGCCATGTGCGAGCTATATCTGTTACATGTAATCTTAGTTTAACCAAGAGATTATTAAGGTAAGAGAGTGAATCCCACATATAGACCTTATACCCAAGGTAATCCCTCTTAAGTTATTTTTAGACATTGTACCCAGTTCTTCTGTGGATGTTACTCGCGCGTTGCGTCGATGTTTTCGTGGAGCCGATAGGTTCATATTTCGTTTCGTTTCAAGTAAACGAAAACCTCCAATTCTGTGGGGACGTATTCTTTGATATTTTGATTACAAGCAAAGGAGCTTCGGCTCTCGCTAAGTTTAAATACATTTCGCAATTTTAATAGGAGTTTAAATAAGAGACGGATGTCCCATGCACAGACAATGACAACTGAATGAACGGCGAAGAAATGTTTAGACAAACGAGTGCAAAGCAAACGAACGCCCAAACACAAGCTAGGTAACCGATCAAGCACATGGTGCAGGCAGACGCTCGCCGCCCAAGCAGCAAAAGGCAGTATAAGCTGCAACGGCAACAACGCCAAAGACAGCATCGATTAAAAAACGACTTAATATTCAACCTACGAATCTCGCGAGAATTTAGATTCATTTAGTTTGTCTATACTGTCAGAAATATCCCAAACAGAATATGTAAGATATCGTCAAAATTCGAAAGAGAAATTTTAAAAATTGACCTCCTACCTCACGTTCTCTTGAATATGCAGAATGAGGCCATTTTACGTTCTTGGTTTGTAAAGAACGGCAAAGAAATGAACGAATAATTATAAGGCACACTTACAGAGCTATTGTACTCGTTGCCGTTGCCGTTGAAGTTTGCTTATTGTAAAAACTCCCTTAAACCGAATAAACGGCAAAATAATGAACAGCTAAACAAGCATAAAACAAACGAAAGCCCAGCCGAACAAAAACACGGCTGAGAGTGCCGAAAACATCTCCGCTATGAAACGTCTTTTGAAAATCAAAATATATGAAATGACTTTCCCGCCATTTCCTCCCCGATAGTTTCGGGAAAGTCGCTTGGGCTGTCCGCGCATCGCGCAAGTAACATCCTCGGAAGAACTGGGTACCATGTCTAAAAACAACTTAAGAGGGATTACCAGGAGGATTACCTTGATAATCTCTTGGTTCGACTCATTTTTTTTGTTGTGTATAAAATTGCCTTAAACTGGGGTAAACCTCAGACTAACAGTTTTAGCAAAGTAGAGAAACATTAAATAGATAACAATAAACTGAGAAGAAACAAGCCAGGGTGTTTTCGAATGGACCCGATTGACGTATAATAAGTGCTATGTTTTTCTAATAAAAATAAAAAGCGTTCACTTTTTGAGTACTCACTTACTTATCTATCTATCTAGCTCACCTGGGCATCTTCGTATCCGGCAGTGCTTCGTTTGTACTTTTGGTCCTACGCAGGCGTTGTCGATTCCTACTGCATTGAAGGCACTAAAGCACGAACGCGATCGTGTTTTAATTCCGCGTCCACATGAGGCACTGCAGTGCGTCCAATCGCTCCATGGTGTGAATCCGACGTCGTTGTCTCCTTGCACGTGAATGGTTTTACCACCGTTCTCGTATGTCTCCTGTTGTTCTCCTTGTGGCATGGAACCCATTCCTGGCTTCAGAAACTGCAAGGCAGACATTAGCTGCCGAGACGGAAAATCAAGAGCTTCCGGTGCGCTGTTGGTAAACTGACGAAGGATTGGCATTCTTTGGAAACGAAACACGTTCGGTGCGTTGGACATTTGTCTCACGTTTCCTTGCTGCGGCATATTGAGTAATGATTGTATAGACGGCATGTGCGCCATTTCTTGGTCAATGTTCGCGAGTCCACTGTAACCTGCAATGGATCTTGCAGTGTTGCTCGTGTCGGGTGCTGTACTTGGAAGACGGTTTGACATTTCCTCAATAACAGGTGTTGCCGATAACGTTTTAAAGATAATTTGTTTGTTATTTTTTGATGCTTCCAGTGCTGGTATGCCTGCATACAAGTGGAGGATCATTTAAGAACCTTTTTGTTATTTACTTGCCTTAAAGAGATTAACTACAGCGCCTGTTTGGGTACTTGGGATTCAATACAAAGATGCGTGCAATGTTCACAACATTTTCAGCTCATAGTTGACAGGATAAACAAGGATTATCAAAAATACGGGACGCGTCACTGAGGCTTTCAACATAAGTGATTTTGCGCTTAGTCTACCATATTTACAGTCACGCTAAGCTCAATTTCTCAGAATTGTACTGGCTACCGTCGAGAAATGATGCCAAAAACAGATGGCATGAAGTTGTTTTCAATGATATTCCTTCGCGGCAGCTTTCAATCCAATAGATCACTTTAGATATGTTACAATCTAGCTTGATATTGGACCTAGAGGACACAAACAAAAGAAATGAATAAACATGTTCATTCAATTTCCTTTGTTTGTGTCCTCAAGGCCTCGCTGACAAGCTTAATTTTAATATATCGAAAACAATCTATTGCTGGAACATGATTATGGCCTACATGGCAAGCTCCAGCAATCATCTTTTATAGAAATATTTAATCTTGATTAGGGATCTTTGAGTGACTTTATAACAAGAGGAGGTGTGAAGGGATCGGATATCTTGAAAATTTCATATTAAAAATGACAACCTCTAGGTAAGCAAACAAGATCAAAAGAAGTATACCGTTACGAGAAGCTTACAATTGTAGACACTGAAATGTTATGGCATGCGCAACTTGAAAACTCTACAGCATTGATTTCTGAACGGCATCTTGAAGGACTGGCAATTTCTCATGCCAGGAGAAATAAGAGTTAAACGCCTGACGAAGTTAATAGAATTGTGACGCAATTGCGAAACTCTTCAAACTAAATGTGGGACGCACAACGTAGGGGAAGAATTTTTTCATTACTTGTTTGGTCAATAAAACGTAAACGCAGAGCATAAGTGGTTGAGGGGAAAACCTTTTTAATTTGGATTTTAACTAAAGCTGAAAATAGATGATATCATTAGCTGTTATCACAGTTATCAGCAGTTTGACATACAAACGAGGCAAAAAGGTCAATACTGCTTTGTATTGACCCATTCGCATCGTTTGTACGCTTTTTCAAACAGAAGAATATTTGACCGCAGACTCGAGTGCAATAGAAGCTATTAATGGTTGATCTGAGTTGTGCTTTCATTAAGTATCACTTCATGAAAACCTTGAGCCAATAATCTGATTGTTATATATAGAGGCTCTATTCATCCATACTCGAAGTTTCTCTTTTTTTTTCTTCGCCAGTTAATAAATAGATAACAATCATTTAAGCTTGTTTTCTCCATTTGACTGCCTCTCTCTACGCTACTCTAAAGTATTTACCAGGTCTATGGGGACATTCCTTTGGTTTACAATATTCAACTTCAAATCTCCACCCGGCGCAGTCGTTGCCTCCAAAAGTTGGAGGAGGGTTGGTGCATAGACGCATACGCATGCGCACTGCCTTTGGACCACAAGACTCTGAACATGCAGACCACTCTGTCCATTGAGTAAAGCCACCATTCACTAAGACAAGAATTGTTTAAATAATAGTCTTTTAATGGCAAATCCGCCTGAAAATCTTACATCTTAAAGTTGGTAACCTCAAACTGAAAATTTAGTTAGAGTGTCGGAAGGATCGCGCCAATATGTATGAGGAAATTGAAGTTATCCAAAGTCTGCTTTTGTAACCTGTTCAAAAAGTTATCTTTTACGTGCTATAAGCCATTGAGTTTTCAAACATTTAGCTCAAGGAACTTTCTATGGTTACACCGATTTTCCTCCCAGTTCTGGACTGTAAAAGAGTTAGCGGAGCGGACAGTGTTAAGCGACCTTACAAAACTGCTCACAATACCTAAAAATATAATGGCACAACTTTGTCACTTTGAATCACCAACTCGATTGATTGGTTAGTTGACAAACTTTGTATGGCTCTTTGCTAGGTCATCTAACCTGGACAGTTTTTTGGAACATCACAGGGTACTGTCTGGTGGTTCCATCCGGGACATTTGACAATAGCGTCGAATGGCGAGCTCTTGTTGCAGTAGAGTGAGCGTGTCTTCATGCTGCCATTGCCGCACGACTTAGTACACTTGGACCACGCACTCCACCCTGCTTCTTCTGAAAGTAAACACGCCTTGTGTCACAAATGAGAACCAACAGATTATAGAACATGCATTGCCTTGATGTACCATCGGACATGCAATGTAAGTTAAATACGCCGAGTTTAAAAGGAAGGTCCCGGATCACGAAACAGCGTGTATGGGGCTTTATATTGCCCCTGAAATGAACCGAACGTCAACTTCACGAAACAAATCCAGAAAGAAAGCTTTATCTATTGATGGTTTTTTCACCATCTTTTGGAATTTTTCTGATGGGTTTTCTTTAATCACTCAAAATGTTATACATTTTGGGTTAAAGATGGCATGACACTCGTTCCGCCACTCTCCCAACCGTCACATAGAGCGTTTGGGTTTGTTAGTTATAATTACGATACTGAGGTTGAAGGGTAGGAAAATTAATCTCTCTCAAATTATTTTTGACATGATACCTTGTTCTCCCACGGATAATGTTACTACGCGCGTTGTGTGGATATGTTTTGCTGGAGGATGAAAATGTGTGTAAAGCCGGTTGGACCGTCCACTTGAGCGAAATCGGGTCACAGGATTGGCTTTTTCTCGACCCTTGAAAGATATTGGAAGCCCGCAGGGGTCTAAAAATAGCTTGAGAGGGAGTACCTTAGGGAAATTTCCACGGTGGAGTAACTCTCCTATACCATTCATCCTCTATTGGTATTTTTTACGATATATGATGTATAGCACTTCTTACCCTCATCACCGCTCACAACAATATTTATCTCTTTTTCTTTTGAACCAGGATCTGAAACGTCTGCTATAGTTTCGATCGTACCTTCCTTCTTCACAACTGGTTTGCCTTCGATTGACCTTTTAAGGATTTCTGAAGATGACTTGAAAAGACTCTCTACGTCTTTTTCATCGTCGCTATCCATCTTTTCCAGCTCTTTTAAATCTCTCTGATCGCCATTGTTTGCAGTTCGTAAAATCGATGCGAGCTGAGATTGAGCATCAGACCCAAAATTTCCTAAATCTTTATAATCGGAACTCAGTACTTTCCCCTCTGGCGTCAAATCGCGAAATACACTTTCATTGATTGTAGATGATGTCCATTTTTCATTTCCACCGTTTCCACGTTTTCCATTGGCGTCGTCTTCATCGTTGCTTTTGGAATTCTGCATGAAAGCCCTTAGTTTTTCTTGGGAATTTGCAAGAGATTCCCTGGGACTGCCATCTTTTGATTTGTGTTCTGCTTCCTGACGCAGCGAACTCTGTGAAATAGCTCTTCGGGAACCGATCAGGTCTTCAGGCTGGCGGATTGTCTTAAATCCCTGTTTATCCAAATCCTGTAGCGCATCCACGTAGGTCAAATCCTGTTCGCTTTCTTGACTCAAGGCGTGCGACAACTGTCTCTCAAAGTCAGGGCTTCGAAAAGTGCCGTCACTGAACTCTGTCTTCCAATCACTTACATCCCTCTTCTTTGCCAACTTGGTTACTTTGGAATGCCTTTCTTTTGCGGGTCTTGAATTCCTCTTGATTCCAATCTCGTCACCAGCACTTTGAAACATGTTTTTCATTCTGTTTATGTCATGCTTTTGTACAGCGTTTACGTACTGCAAATCACCTTCGCTTTCTTTGCGCAATGTTTCGAGTAACAATCCTTGAGCTAGGTCGTTTTTGACGTCATCAAGCGGAATCACATCACCATTTAGAATTTTATTGCCTTTCTTTACAACAGAAATGTTCAAATTGATATCTTTGAATTGATCACCATCGGGAGCCTCGCTTTTCTTGTGAAGCTTATCTGTTCTAGTTTCTATATTTTCATCGTCTGTGAGTCGTCCTTGACTGTATTTCCGAGAACCCATGAGATGTCTTAAGGTCTTGTCCAACACCTGGTTATATAATGAACGTTCAAAAGCATAAGCAGGATCCCTCTCATCAAATGGAAACGTTTCCATCCCTTTAGCATGTCTTTGTTGTCCTTCGAAATCTCTCATGATGACATTTGAGATATCTTCCTGAGCCTTTGGACTAAGGCCACGTATCTGATCTAGATCGCTGTTTAGCACGTCAGTTGAAGACTCCCAAGACTCTAAATCTCTCTTGTTGTTCAAGCCATGGTTAATTTTCTTGTGTTTATGAAACGTTTGGAAAGACTTATGAGGCAATAGCTTGGCGTGCTTCCTTTTGTGTGATACTGTATGGGCTCTTCGACTTGTTTCTCTCGCTTTGTGGTTCAGCTTTCGCTGCTTCAATATCGCATCGACAATCCTTTTCATGGAAGCGTCTGACTTTCCCTGCTCTTCATCCGTCCTTGTATTGTAATACTCTTTAGTTGCAGGTGCTCCCTTCTGAACACTGCCATGTTCTGCGATAGCGCCTAAACTTTGCGGTCTGTGAGCCAAATGTTTTTCAAGCTCTTTCATTTCATTTGCAGTAAGTCCAAATATGACCGAAGTTGGACTTATTTCAGACTCTCGAGTCCCTGGTTGATCCCTTGATTTTGTTGGTTTGTTCCTAATGACAAAATGCTTGGACGACGTCTTGATATATTTCAACTTCGATAAATTACTGAGCGCACTTGATGAGGATGATGAATTGGTAGTTGCTTTCCGATGTGTCTTCCTGCCATGGTTTGTTTTCTCTATGTGTATCAGCTGTTTCTTCTGCGGACGCACCGTTGCTGCCAGAAAAGGATTCGCTCCTTGTGGTGCCACATCGTTTGTTAAGTCACCTCCGGTCATTAACTCCGTTCGATCATTCTCCTCATCTAGTGGTTGATACATAAAGGTCTTTGGTTGGTTCAAGTTAAATGCGTTTTGAAAACCCTCGAGATGACTTATTGGGGCAAGATCCACAGCTGAAATATCTGAAACAGTTTTTGGACTTAGAACCATCTGACCTCCATCAGATCGCATTTTTGTGGCATCCCAATAGCTGAAGTCGTTACTATACGGAGAAGTACGCGTTCCCAAACTTGCAACTTCTTCACTGGAAAAAGGGTGTGAAGTATCAGAGTGGGGACGATGTTGAAATGCACTGTTTCCGTGTTGGTCAGAGCTCGGAGCTACCTTGTCCTCATTGAAAACTGAAGCCATGATTTGAGAGTTTGCTCTATTTTCTTTATTTATCAAATTTTTATTTCCTGCAAATGATTCTGCCAGTTCAGCTTTGGCAAAAGGATCACCCAAAATTTGACCCGAAATGTAGCTCGCTTCACTATTGCTGTCTCTCGACATAGTGCTGTTAAGGCTGGGTAAAAGTTCTCCCACGATGTGCCCGGCGTCGTTTATTTGGCGCTCAATATAACTAGCTTCTTGAGCGTCTTCATCTTGTAGCTGTTGTTGACCTCCATAGGGACCATCGGAATCGGAAAACCCTTCCTTCGCCACTGGATCATTCATGAGATTCAGCTGCAGGTATTTTGTCTCGTCAGGATCCAAACTAGTGAAGTTGCTGTAAAGAAAAGGCGCATCTATGACCCGATCTGCAGATGCTCCTGAAACTGTTCCTTTAGCAGGAGGTGCCAAATCTGAGCTACTTTGAACTCTTTGTTCTTCACGAATTCCTGCCCATCTTGTTGAACTCAATTTATTGGTTGTCAGAATTGGCTTGTTATCAAATAAGTATTCTTTAGTAAGACCTTCGAATTGTGTTGGGATTTCTTTGTTGGAAATGAATCCAACGGGCGTCAGACCTGGTTTACTGCCAAAGACTTGTTGACCGCTGGTTTTCATGTCGTTCCCACCTGCAAGTCGTTCGCCGCTTTTAGAGACAAAATAAGGCTGATTGTTTCCCCTTCCTATTACGTTATTAAAAGGTCTCTTCATTACCTCCAGTTGGCCTCCTTCTTTGGCGCTTACACTGTCCTGGACATTATGAATCGTAATGTTCAAGTTATCCTGTCTAGCAGGCACTGGTGTTTTATTGGATAATTCATGTCCAAATCTTGGTGTTTCGTGGACAGAAGGTGACAAAGTTCTATTACTGACTGCCATTGCGTATGCTGATTCTTTCGTTTGGTTTAACAACGGTGGACTACCAGCCGTTCTGTTAGTAGCCTTTGTTTTGGACTCAGTTTTTAGCATGGCCTCTACTGCACGTGCTGGACCATTTATTTGATTTAACATCAGTTTTTTGTCAGCACTTGCCCTACTTGGCTTTTTGCTTGGCGCATCCTTAAGTCCCTGCTCTACTGCATGTACTGTTTCCTTCATTTGAGTGATCGCCATTGAACTATCAGCATTTTCATAACTGGGTTTTGTTTTGGACTGAGCTTGTACTCTCTCTTCAGTCAGGTTAGACAAGCTTTTTAATGATTCAGTGATCCTTCTGGGGTCATAGTCTATGGACGAAGCGTTTTCTGATTTCCTCTCGAGTTCAAGCTGAGATATTTTATTACTTTCTTTAACGAGAGCTTGTGCAATCGCGTTGGCCCAAACATCTTTAATTATTGGATGTTTTGCTAGTTCCACTGAAACGAACTTGGATCCTTTTTCACCCAGACGCTCTACAACGTTTTCTACAAGGTTTGGAAGCTGGCTGTTTAAACCTTGTGACGAATTAGTGAGTCCAGCTTCTTCAGATACCACTGACTGATTCGAAATCTCGGGAGTCATTTCACTTGGGTACAATGTAGGCGTCGTAGTATCGAGTGTTTTATTAAAATACGGGTTCACTTCGTTTGGATCCTGCCATGAGGCAGAGCCGCTATCCATTTCTAAATCAGGATCATCAGAGGAATTGTTTGAAGTCATCTTGACTTCATGTAAACCTTTGTGGTCTTCTTCGATCACCGATTGATTACCAGTTTCACCTTTTTCGAAGTCACTGTAAGTATCATCACTGTTCATACTAACAGTTTCTCCATTTTGATGTGATTGTAATACCTGATGCGGATTAAATCTTCCTTGGTTTAACACATACGATACTTTGGCCAGAGGATCGTTTAATAGTTGTTGCCGTACCCGTACACTCATTAATTTATCTTCTCTTCCAAGAGATGTATGTTCCTCGTCACTGACAGAACTTGCTGTCTGTCCTTTACTTTGATATATAAACGTGCCGTTATTATTAGCAATCGCTTGTTCCATGGGACCAGTGAGGATCTCGCTTCCCGAAGGATCCTTCTCTGTATGAGATCCAGACATCTCTGCGTCTTGGTTTTCTAATAACCCATAAAGTTTCTCTGTAAGTCTTGAAGGCGATAAGACCTCCTCTTCAGGCTTAAGGCCATCTTCTTCATTCCCTCCTTCCGTTGAAACAAAGTTTGAAGCGTCGTAATTGTTTGACATATTGTCTTCCAAAACTGCACCCGCGACATCATCATCATCATTATCATCTTTTCTCCCTTTTACGAGCCTTGAGTCAGAAACCGGCTTTGTTTCCTTGCTGCTATTTTTCTGATCGTTTTTGTCACCTATCTTTCCACCAACCAAAGTTATTAAGGGCGTTCCTACTGTTATACCTGTTAAAAGCGTTTCAGACATATATTTTATCTGCTTGCAACGTTCGACTTAAGACATTAAGAAGGCATATAAGAAAACATGCTGGTGTCTCTAATGGATTGACTACCAGACAGACTGACTGACTGACTGACTGACTGACCGACTAACACACGGACGGAAGGACGGACTGGCTGACTGACTGACTGACTGACTGACTGGTTGATTGATTAATTGGTTAAAGCTAATCTCAATGGTTCAGTAAATAAGGAAAAGGTGTACTATTTAATAAAAGTACTCTACGAACCGTTGATATCACAGCCATACAGCTCCAAACTAACTTACCAACATCATCTCTCCTAGTAGGTACAACATATGGTGTTTGAACTAAAACCAAAATCCAACCAAGGATGAGGAATTCTGCCCAGTTCATTGTTATTGATCTATCAATTCCATTACATTCTGCCAAAAAATAAATCATAGTATCATAAAACGTTGAACCTATCTCTGACATATTTAGTTCAGAGATGAGATTCAGTGATTCAGTCTTACCTCAGAAACAATACCCAAACGATCCACGAGTGATCATTTTATGGCGAAATAGGAAATACCTTTGATTTCGTTTCGCGACAAAAGGCAATTTGACCTCGCACGTCATTTTGGTTCTCAAGAAAAAAAATTTAAAGACATCTTCTGCGACCAATACGAAGCCAACCGTTAGTTTGTTGTGATTTGTAAGTTCTCCCTTCTGAAGAGTTGTTCAATAGGCTGAAGCAAAAACAAAAAAAAACACGGCGAATTACCCTTTTTTACGGTCAGTTATTAAGTGGATATCGAACTTGAAAAAGATAGAATCAAAGCTTCAATCCACAATTCCTTTTATCGTCTATAACGAAGGAAGACAAACCGACAAGATTTTCATTTGAACATTCAATGGTATCCCACTCAGAGCATTACAGAAGACTGCAAACCACCCAGTTTAATCACTGCAGGAGATAAATGCCGTGAAAGTGTGGTACAATCAGTCCTACTCAGAAAAGGTGTTAGATAACTGTTTTGTAACAGTTGTCCACTTTTCCCTTGTTTGACCCTTTCTCATTGTCCCTAAGCAGAGATGTTCGTTGTGTTGGGCTAAACGAGTCAGACAATTTACAGAAATATTCTTACAGGTGCCCAAGTGACTGTAGCGTGAACAAACTCCATCTTGATGAACTAAATACATATTGGTACTCGTCAAGTAGAATGCTTCAATTGATTCTGAAACTTTTCAATTTTAAACTCTGTTTAAATTCTTGTTTTAACTAGACTGTTTTACCGCTGTTTTGTTGCTTTGTGTTAAGTACTACGGATGATGCCTGATGTACAAACGTTGTGCGAGAGAGTACGTTTTTTACTTAAAGGTGTGAAATTAGATTACAGCAAGATATTAAATACCCCGGTGGGTGGAAGCGTTCAATTGCATTAGAACATCAAAACCTGTTCGTCGTGTAAGTTACAATACTAGGTTTCATCTTGATGACTGATACTTCACAAACCTTTCCACAATGAAGAGTGCCTGCTGCTTCACTAATAAGAAAGCGCGGCCGCATAGTATGCTAGTTGCGTTTCGAAGGGATCTTTTCGTTGTGCCATTGCTTATACGTTGACTTAAGATAACTTCCTTGAAGTCAAACGTTTTGATAATCATTTTTTCTTTGTTTGACAAAAGAAATAGTATAGTAATTTTAGCTTTGATGTGAGTGAAAGAGAAAACGGGTGTCTGAATAAGTTTACCTGCTCAAAAGGTCAACGAACTCAACGATTGAATTTGTGTCACTATTCCCTCTTTGTTGTAATTAGTTTTAGGGTATCGACAAATTTAGCGTTCAAGTAGTATTCAACAAAAATTATACAAGATTACAATCCGCGATCACAAAGCCCTAAAACACACAACAAACAAACAGTGCTTTTATGTATTCTTTTGATAGACAAAACATTACCTGAAATGATGACCCAGTCGAGCCATCTCCGTGACTGCGATTGTTTTCGAATGTGTGGACAGTTGAATAATGTTAAAAGCGAAACATACCAGCTTTTCTGCACTTAAGTGAGAATATTGTAATTTTTTAGACCTTTCGGGACCAAAAAGTCTTCACTTTTACAACAGCTGTTAATGATTTAAAGTTTGCTCTTGTTGTCAAGTGTTCAACATTACACCAGAAACTCTCAGCCAATCAAAACAAAGCTTCAAAGGCAGACTTCTTGTACGTTCATTCATGATTAAGCGCTTCAATGGAGTGACTCATCGCTACCCGTATTTGCCTTGCATGGATGGAATTGATCCATTGGGCTGTATTAGTGCATTTAGTTCATTCAATACCTCGTACGTTGTTTTCAAGGTTAGTGATTTTTGCTACACTTTGATATCCACAAAATTTGATTTGATCTAGTAAATTGATCATGGCCGGCCCAAAAAAGGACACTTAAACTATCGCTTATTTCAAACAATGCAACAGACGATTAGCTTTTCAGGAATAACAAAAGCGGTAATTTACAACTACTGAATGATGAACTTGATATTTCTACGAAGTGATAGTTGATGATATTTTGTCTCCTGCGGGGGTTTAATGCAAATTTTCCGTCGGGCATTTCCCAGTCCTTAGCGGGGGAGCCTTCCCATCGGGGCTATATGTTGGCGCTTTCAAGAAATGGCATTTCTCTGCTGTTCTTATTGAAACATTTCTTATTGTTTAGGGGCGCCAATACGTCCCCCGTGAAACCCTCAGGAAGTCCCCCATAAAAGTTAACGAGTTGATTGTGAGGAATTTAAGGTCTTCTTAACTTGACAATTAGATTATGAGCTCGAGATTTCTATCTCGTGATAGTTGACGAGAGCGCAGCCCGAGTCAAGTTTTACGCACAGAAATCGAGAGCTCATAAACTAAATGTTTTAGTATAAGTCTACCAGTCGTTCAAATCTTTATCTAAATTCTCTTCGCATACACTTAGAAAACGCAAGGAAGCAGCCGCCAGTTTGTTAACAAGGGGAGACTGTTTAGGCTACTCAATATCTACAACGGAAGAGATAGTAAGTAGCGTAGGCAATAAGAGAACACTAGTAGATTTATACTGGACACGTAATAGAGCGCGAGCAAAATTATTTCTTTTTTTATAACAACTGAGATAGTTTTTACACGTTCATTATTTAACAAGTGTGATTGAATAGGGTGTAGACCAATATAGAGACATATTCTGTAACGCAACGCAAGGAAACGTTCAGGAAACTTTGTAATTTGTAACGGCTTTTCAATAAATCGAAGCCTATGAGTTTATATAATCCACGTGAGTTTATATAATCTAATTAGTCAAATATTCCCCTATTTTAATTAGTTTTCACTGATCTATGATCTATCGGGAGGATAGACGTTTGGCTGACGATATATTCCACGTTCCTGTGCACCATTTAACAAATAGAGTCCATGTTGCCGTGCTTCTGTTCAGTAATAGATCACAGATGACGTCAAAATGTGGTAAGAACAATACTGTGGCACCGGAGGCGATAGCCTAGTGTGTCACTGATGTTCTTACCGCATTTTGAAGTCTTCTGTGATCTATTACTGGACAGACGGAATCAACTTGTTTTATATAATAAAGAGACAAACCACTACAGTAAAAGTTTTTATTTCAAAATATTTCAACATAACACGAAAGCCGGCCTTTGCCCACTTTGGCAAACATGAAAATTGTAATTTGACGTAGTCTGTTGTCTATGCAAAATGAAGCAATCTCATTGGTTGCTATGAGTAGCAAAGAATTGTGATTGGTCCAGGAAAATCACGTCACTGTCGAACTTGACTCGGGTGTCTCTTCTCGTGGAATGAAAATTTACGGCGAAAACAGGATTGAACTGCGAAATCTACAAATCTTAAAGAAAATGCTGGAAATATCAGGTCCGTTTTTGTCTTAAGAGCAGCCCTGCGAGCCTTGGTGGTTGCCTTGAATATTGCAGGAGTTGAAAAATACGCCCGGAAAACTTGCGGTTGCGGTCAACACTGGACGCGATTCGATTTGAGCTTTGAATGAAAGGAGCGTTAGTGAAGGTGGGAATTTGTGTCTTTCGTGGTTGGTGATTCTCAAATCAGTTGGATATAGTGTCGGAGACACCTTATAGCTATGATACAGTTGGCGTGAGCCATAGTGAGCTATACTTTAATTGCTAGCTGCTATGCCATGAAACGGACTGGAACATTCGCGTAGGAAAGCAAGGTTATGTGTTTATTTTAACTGATTTTAAGAAGTGATGTTTTGAAGTTTCATTCCCGACATCAATCTGTGTCAACAATTATTTTAAGACTGAGAAAAGTTGAATTTTTAAGTAAATTAATCTCATAAACATTTTGTTCATGGGGTTTGTTAAATTCAAGACAAAACAATGGTTTCTTACCTTAAAGGAATTTCAAGACTAAACACTTTTATTCGCTCTCGATTTCTATGCGTGATAGTTGACTTGGGCTGCGCCCTCGTCAACTATCATGAGATAGAAATATCGAGCTAATAATCTAATACAGAAGACGTCAAAATGTGGTAAGAACATCAGCGACACACACTCGGCTATCGTCTCTGTGCCACTTTTTTGCTCATATCACATTTTGACGTCATCTGTGATCTATTACTGAACAGACGCACGGCAATACGGAATCTGTTTCTTAAGGACGGTGCCTACTAAATACAAAGGTTTTTGCGCCAGGTTAGGACCACGCGGAAAACGTAGATCTTTGCAAGGGCTATTGGAATCCACAAAGAAAAATTGGGGTAGCCACGCATTTTTTCGAGATAATTAGCCTTGAATCTAAACAAAAATGCTGACATCAGCATTTCTCTGAAAAAAGAACGAAAGGATATTTCTTTACAAATTTCCTTAGAATTC